GGGTCAAAGAACACAGAAATGGGCAGATTCCCAAGAACTGAAGAGAATGGGTATCCTTGTCTGCCTGGGCTGCCAGAACAAAATACCACAGTCTAGGTGGGTTAAAAATTTATTTTCTCACAGTTCTGGAGGCTTGAAGTCCAAAGTCAAGTTGTCAGCTGGGTTGGCTTCTTCTGAGGCCACTCTCCTGGGCCTACAGATAGCCACCGTCTGTCTCACCGTGGCCTCACGGATCTTCCCTCTGCACATGCGCTGTCCTGGTCTTTGTCCACATTTCCTCTCCTTATAAGGACGCCAGTCAGAGTGGACTTGGGCCCATCCTTCAGGCCTCTTTTTTCACTCAGTCACCTTTTTAAAGAGCTTATCTCCAAATATAGTCTCATTCTGAGGTACTAGTACATTTTGGAGCTTCAATATATGAATCTGTAGATGGATACAAGTCAGTTGAAAGCTGTGGGGTTGACAGAGGAAGTTGTTAAAACAGCCAGGTAGTGCCCCAGATTGGAGACTAAAATGATCTGTGACAATCAATGCAAAGTGATCCAGGACTCGATGCCAGACTGGAAAAAGGACTTTAGTGGGACACTTGGCAATAATTAAAACAAGGTCTGTAGATCAGGTAATAATATTACCTCAGTGCATATTTCATTGTTTTAAAAGTTGTACTATGATGATATAAGATGACAATATGTGGGGAATCTTAGGTTAAGAGTGTACGGGAGTTCTACTATTTTTGCACCTTTTTTCTAATCTAGGATTATTTCAGAATGAAAAGTTAAAAATTAAAAATTAAATAAAATAGGGTAAAAGAGAGAGAGAATGAGATTCAATGTGACAGGGAAGGAAATTTTAAGAAATGAGGAAAAGAAGCAAGGAGGAGACGATTTTCATGAGGTCAGAGATAACATTTATTTTGTGGGTCTCCAGTGACCCTGTGCTGCTAGAACAGAGCCTGGGAGCTCAGCATATATTTTGGAAAGCAATATTCATCCAATCACAAACTCTAAATAGGAGAAGGCAGTAGGTTCATTGAGCCCCACTTCACATTCAGGAAGGGCCTCAAATTTTAACTTACGAATTTGTCTCCAGGGTCACACACCAGTCAGTGTGTATTTTGTGTTGGAAGTGTGAATTCCTTGCATGCAACCATTTAAAATACACCCTTGTCTTGGTAACTGGGTTTTAGTATCCCCTCTTTTTTATTTCAAAAATTTTTCTTTCCCTCTTTTTAAATCTTTTTCTTTTAGATATAATTCATACAGCAGCAAATTCATTTTAAAGGGCAGTGAGTGGTTTTCCGTGCAACCATCACCACTCCATTTACAGAACCTGTTCCTCGCTCCAACAGCCACATCCAGTTGGCAGTCATTTTGCATTTCCCTCTCCCCCGTCCATCGCCAGCCCCTGACAACCCCTAGTGTCCTGCCTGCCTGTTCGGATTTGCCTATTCCGGACATTTCGTGTAAATGGGTCATTCATTTCATTATGTGGACCAGCCCCATCTCAAACTCTCAGGCTCACAACGGCTGGTGGCCCCGGGATTGGCGGGCGCGTGTGGGTGTGCGCTGGGCGCCCAATCTCTGTCGAGCGTCTGGAGGGGGCGGGGGCGGCGGCGGCAGGAGGCTCCCAGGAGGCCCGGGCAGCCGGCACAGGGTCGGAGCGGCGGCGCGGCAGTGGCCGGCACTGGCTCGGGCATGACGCTCTCGTGGCGGGCGCTGTTGCGCACGGCGCAGCGCTACCCGTGGCCCACCAACGTGCTGCTCTACTCCACGCTCTACTCGGCCGGCGACGCGCTGCAGCAGCGCCTACAGGGCGGCCCGGCCGACTGGCAGCAGACGCGGCGCGTGGCTACCTTGGCCGTGGCCTTCCACGCCAACTTCAACTACGTGTGGCTGCACCTGCTGGAGCGCGCGCTGCCGGGCCGCGCGCCGCGCGCTGTCCTGGCCAAGGTGGTGTGCGACCAGGCGCTCGGCGGGCCCGTGGCCCTGTCTGCCTTCTACGCCGGTGAGGGGCCCGGCTGGTCGAGGGGGCCAGGATCGTGGATTGGGGGACTTGAAGCAGGGGCTGGGAGTTGGAGTGGGGAGGGAGGGAAAGGAATTGAAGATCGGGAGCTGGAGGTCGAGATGCCACGGGCTGAGAAGCCTGGGGAGCGGGGATGAAGAGGGCTGAGGGGGAGAACTTGAGGAGTGCGGCTCGGAGAGGCAGGGGACTAGAGGGCCAAGGTTCCACGGTTTAGGGATTCAGGGGCCAGGATTGCAGTTCGGACTCTGGGTTTGCACGAAGTCGGTGGCAGATTTCAGTGGCAGGGATGGGGGTTAACCCTGAAAAAGCCCCCTGAAATGTTGAGCAGACCCCAGCATGTAGCCTTAGCAGCTGCAACCCCTGCCATCTAGTTGTGCGGTGGCGCCTATCCTTCCGTGAAAATCCATATCCGAGGCTATGGGCCCTCCTTTTCACTGGTGGACACTCCTTCCCAACACACCAACAAAATGTGAGAGCTTCGGACCCTGGGGATAGAGTGGATGGAACCCGACGTCCGGCCAAGTTCCCCAGAAAATCCACACTTGGGGCCATAGTCCTGCTTTGGAAAAGTGATTTTCCTGTGGGGGTTCCATTCCCTTGTCAAAAGCCACAGAACATGTGAGGGGACCTCAGACCCCTGCCATGGACAAATCTATGTCTGGAAGGATCCCAGGAGCCCCCTCCTCAGAAAATCGCCCTGAGGCTTGAGGGTCTGACTTCTGGAACCTGCTTTAGGGCCCTAATACCAAAACTAAAGGAAGAGGCCCTGTGGCCCCCATTGTCATAACAATTTCTATAGCTTAGAAGAGAGTGGACTGGGGAGGGGGACCAACTCCCTAAGAAAATCCAAGGGTCCTGGGCCTGGCCTTGGCATTGGGGGTCACAGGTGCCCTCAAGAGGGTCTTCTTGTCAGTGGCTGTTGGTGCCTTCTAATCCGGGTTAGGTGGTCAACACCACCTTGAAGAAACCTTTGCTGCCCAGTGGATCTTATTTTGGGGAGCTAGATTTGTTCCTTTCCTCATGCAGGAAAACAGCCTAACTTGCAAACAGGTTCCTTATGCCTGTCAGTAGGGTGCCCTTGTACACTGGGGAAGGGGTTGGGAGCTGGGAGCTGGGCATTTAGGAACCAGATTCCCATTTAATTATCAACCAGCCCAGGGAGGCACAGGTTCTCTCGTTATTCCCATGTCACAGATGAGGAAACTGAGACTCAAAGGGGTTAAGTAATTTGCCCAAAGATAACAAAATCCATGCCATGTTTTTAATTTGGTGGGTGTGAAACCAGGAACATGGTGCTAGCACAGGGCTTCAGGAGGCCTATGGTTCAAGCCTAAGGCCCCTGAAGCAGATTTCTCTCTGGATTGCTTCTTTGTCTTGCTTTTTAGATTTCTGGCCCAGTTTCCTTGTCCCGTTGAGATGAAAGGGGAAGGTGGAAGGGCGTGCGCTGAAAGTTTGCTCAAGCTACTTCTGACTTGGAAATGGGCTCTATCAGATGATCCTTTGTGCCAGCTTGGGAAACTGGAGTAGAGATTGAGAGAGGGCTCGGAATTCACACCTGCATTGGACTTGGTCCACTGTCAGCCTTTCTGAGCTGTTTTCCTCCTCTGTAACTACCAATCTGGGTGGATTGTAAGGAGGTTCAAATGAAATAATGCACAAAAACTGTTTAGCACTTAATTAGTGTTGGGTAAGTGGAATCTGATATTACCAATATTTGTCTGGGTTTTTAAAAATGGGTCTTGTTCTAAGAATCCCCTGCAATTGACTTAAAAAGCTCTTATTCCCCTCCCTCCTAATCAGAGTTGAGGAAGGATTTTAAAAACACTCTTAGTTACATCTTTCTTAAAATAGGAGGGTTTTGTTCTTACTCCCTGAATTTCTTTTCTGGGTTGTTGAACATCGACATTTTTCAAATGTGTTTAGGAAGGGTGAGTTGGTGTTCTGCTCCCAAATTCTGATTGGAATAATATACTAAAAGAAAAATTTGTAGTTACCAGAATACCCAGGGTCTGTCAGCCTTTTTTTTTAGTAGGAAATTAAATTAAAAAATTTTAAAATATTTCATAAGAAGTTTGGAAGGTGGAAAAGTCACCAATGGGTCTACTATCCTGACACTGCTGTTTTTGCCAATTCTCTTATAATTGAAAGTATTTCTTTTCTGCTGTCACTTTTATACCCTCCTATTGTCTTCTTCATAAATATAACTTCATATTTATCATTCCTTTAAAATTTATCTAGTTTTATCTTACTCAGCCATAAAAAAAGAATGAATTCTTGCCATTTACAACAACATGCATGACCCTAAAGAGTATTATGCTAAGTGAAATAAGTCAAAAAGAGAAAGAGAAATCCTGTCTGATGGCACTTCTATGTGGAATCTAAAAAATAAGCAAACAAAACCTACAGGAAACAAACTTGGTTTCAGGAGGAAGTGGAGGTGGCAGAAGAAATAGGTGAAACAGATTAAGAGGCTTTATTAAACTTAAAATAAACTTAAGTTTTTAAATTTAATTTTTAAAATTAAATATGTTTTATTATTATTTATTTTAAACTTGTTTTTTAATAAATATGTTTTTGTATTTTAATAAACTTAAATTTAAAATAAATAAGTTGTGGGGATGCAATGGACATATAGTCAATAATACTGTGGGGAATATAGTCAATAATATTGTAATAACTCTGTATGGTGACATATCATGGGGTTCATTTTGTGATGTATAAAAATATTGAGTCTCTGTGATGTACACCAGAAACTGATAGTGTAATGCATGTTAATTATATTTCAATTAAAAAAATTTGTCAGTGTTAGAATGGAGATTACGTTCTATTTTCACTGTTGGGTCTGAAAGGACTTGATGGATGACTGATACTAGCGGTTACTTTGCCTATTGTAATAGGAAACTTAAACATGAACTGCTACATAGTTTTCTTACTACTGAAACCTTTAAAATTCTTCTGGTGTGTGTATTTGCAAATAGGTATGAGTATTCTCCAGGGAAAGGATGACATATTTTTAGACCTGAAACAGAAATTCTGGAATACATATAAGGTAAGGACAGACTTGAAAATGTAACCAAGATTTTTTAGTACATTTTAAGCATTAAATGCATTTTAATAAAAACATTCTTAATTTAAGGCTGCAGTTGGCTGGCACAGGATACAATATTTTGACAGAGAGATCTTAAATTTGTTTTGATAGATGAATGAGAAGAAGCCTTAAAAGTGTCTATACTTTAAGAGAGTCTATAAATCAGTATAGTCTGAATTTTAGTTCATGTTCACAATGACTTCTGATGTTCTTATATTTACTCTCAGTAGTCACAGTTTAGTGAATTTTTATTTAGTGAGGTTTTATTTAGTTCATTAGTGAGGTCATTGCAAAATAGGCATAGTAGAATGTGAGTGGCTTAATGGAATCATTCCCACGGACGTGGCCAATGTTCCCAGGTGTGTATTCTGCTAAATATCCATGAAAGGGTCCTTGTTAACATCACAAAGATAGTTACAGGGAAGGATGATATTTCCCAGGATTATTTCTAGGCTTGAAGCAAATCATCTGTTATACTGTTGGCTCAGTACAAATGTACACAGTTCAGTCTTACAGATACTTGTTAATTTATTCAATGAAGATTTATTGACCAACATCTTATGGTCTGGCAACATCAAGGGTGCTTTCCATCTCAGGCCTAGAGCAAGTTTGATTCTATTAACCACAGTGAGGTCAGTTTTCAGGACTGCAGAATGTACACAGCCTAGCTTAGGGCTTCCCATGTGCTTAATTCTCTGTGAAAAGCCATGCCAAGCCACACCCCGCCATTACCTGCACTGCTTGTAGTATCTTCTGTTGAATGACACCGAGCCCCAGAACCTGCAATGCCCACCTGATGGTTGGAGGTAGATGACAGGGATGGTTGAAGTTGCGTGTTTCCCCTCAAACCCTGTTGCTCAGGGACAGTTCCTTTTTCCTTCAAGAATGTTCAGAATTCTTGTTACTTTTCTTGGTGCAGAAATTGTGGGCCTGTGCGGACCTCCAAGTGTGATTTTCTTTGATTTTCTTTTGTAAAAAGGGTCAGGTTTTACCACTATATCATAGATCCTATGGAGATACATATGTCTAATATTTTTAAAAAAGAGCTAGCAAAAAAAAAAAAAAAAAGAGCTAGCAAGCAGAATTGTGTAAGAAAGAGGCTCTAAGTGCCGACTTGCAGCTGCTTCATTTTCTTCTCCCTTAATGAAGACATATGGGCTCCTTTTTCTGGGTGTTGAATGCCATGCCAAGGATCTTGAGCTTCAGTAATCCTGTCAAGAGAAACTAGTTAGGGGGTTATTATAGTCAAGTTCACATAAGAAATAATAAACAAGTAGAAATAGGAATGATTTGAGAAATAATACATTTTAGGCAGTAGAAGTGGTGGGTTTGGATGATTGGAAGTCAGGGTAACTGGTGAGGACACATACAGGGTGACTGCCAGGTTTCTGAATTGAGTAACTGCATGGACGGTGGTTTGTCATTTGAGGAAGGACACAGAGGATGGCGAGCTGATTTGAGGAAGAAGTTGAGCTCGGTTTGGGAAAGGTTGAATTCCAGGTACCTTTGGGATATTCAAAGGGAGATTTCCAGATGCACAAAGGAGAGCTCAGAGCCAGAGATATTAGATGTGGGAGAAGTTAGGTTAAAACTAGGCTTTCCATTCAAGCTTGATCAATGAACCTTAGCACAGTGTTAGCTGTCAGAAGAAAACCAGCTTCCATGAGGAATCAGCCCCAGCGGCTCTCCTGTAGCCCAAGGGATATGTAAGATTAGAATTGGTTTTTTGTTGCTGAGGAATCAGCCCCCTGCTCAATTGTCTCAGTAATATAGCTGATATTACTTTCTCTTTTCCTATAGTTTTTATAAACTTTAATTTGGAAATAATTTCAAATTCACAGAAAAGCAACAAGAGGAGTTCATAGAACACCCATATATCCTTTACCTAGATTCACCTGTTAACATTTTGCCCCATTTGCTTTGCTATTTGTTGGCTGTATTTGTCCGTCCATCCATCTTTCTGTCAAATGTTTTTCTGAGTCATTGGAGAGGAAGTTATACACAGAATTACTTTTTACTCCTAGATACTTAGAAAATATTCTAAGAGTAAAGATGTTCTCTTAAATAACCACAGCCTTGTCACCAACTTCGAGAAGTTTAACAATGGCAATAATCCTTTGATCTCTTCTCCCACCCACATTCCATTTTTCTCAATTGACCATCTAAGGGCCTTAATGGCATTTCTTTTCCTTCCAGGACAAGGATCCAGCCTGGGGTCAGGTAGTGCATTTAGTTCTCATGTCTCTTTAGTCCCATTAGTCGACAATATTTCCTCAGCTCTTTTTAAATCCATTACGACACTGATATTTTTGAGGAATACAGTCCTACTTCCTTAAAAAAAAATTGTTTCCTTTTGGGGGTTTGTCTGATGTTCCCTTGTGATTAGATGCTGGTTATGCATTCCCGGCTGGAATACTGCATAGGCGGTGATGTGTCCTTTTCAAGGTTATCTCAGCAGAAGTCACCTGATGCCCTTCTGCCCCCAACTGGAGATACTCATTTTGTCCATCTGGTCGAGGTGTCCAGTTTTTCTACTGCATAGTCACTATTTTTTCCCTTGAAACTACTAAGTGATCTGTCGGGAGGCACTTTAAGATTCTACGAATGAATATCCTGCTCCCCATCAGAATATCCCCACCTCACCTTCAGATTTGGCGTCCAGGGGAGATCCTGCCTGATTCAGTCTTTGCTGGTCTGATGGTCAACCAGTGATGAGTTTCCAACTCCAAGCCTGATCCCACGTTCTGAGGGTGGCAGTCAGCATTCTCTTTTAAGGAAGAGCCTGCACTTCTCTCCAAGTTATTTATGTACTTACTTCTCTGTATCAGCAAGGATTCAGGGGCTCTCATTATTTCAATGGTGTATAATTCATTATTATGTTTAAGCATGTTTGGTGACCAGGTGTCCCAGATTTGCTCAGGGAGAGCCCCTTCAGTATGGCTCCTATGTCCTTGTGACATGTCCCATCTTTTTTTTTTAAACCACTTCCTTAGTCTCTGTCCTAACAACATGTTCTCGGCTTGTCTTGCACCTTGTACCTGTCCTACCATGGCCCTGAAATCAGCCATTTCTCTGAGGAGTTCCTGCCTTTCAGTGGGGAATGGTATAGGAACATGGCCTGTGCACTGCATGATGCTATATTCTGAAAGAAAATAATTGCCATGAGAAGTAAAACCATGTTTGAATGGATTTAGTCTTCTGATCATTGTTGCTAAATAATAAATTCTTAAATGACTATGTACTTCAAATAGCTTCTATTGCAATGGCTTATGGTAGAGACTTTAGAAAATTAAAATTAGCTAAAAAAAGAAAATAATGCCACCTTTCTAGTACCAAAATAATACCACTTTTAAGGACTATCTTGAAAACATATAGGTTTTGGAAAAATATAATTTATGTATGAAGACAACTATCTTTTAAAAAAAGCCACCAGGATGATCTTTTTGTTAGCATGTACACGCTAAAGCCTGTTAAAATAAATCTCTTAAAAGATTTTGTCATATACAAGAATGCCTGCTAACCTTATTATTTAGCATGAAATAGAATATATTATTAGCAAATCTATAAGGAATGGTTTGGCATATAGCATTACAAATTTGTTGATGATTCTTTTATAAATATATTCTTTTATCATTTGCTTGGGCTAACAGGAAAATTGCATATATAAATATATGTTGTTATTTCGAGAGTAGTTTTCTAAGAATTGGTAGTGATTCTGGTAGACTTTTCATTCTGGACCTGTGACTATAACTCATATAAATATCTTGTACTTAACAGTTTTTTTCCATTGCCTCACACTCCCACTTGAGAGATTTAAAGTAGTCTAATTTCATCGGCTTAGTCTGAAATGTAATACCACCTCCACATTCTACCTGCCTGGTATTTTTTAATCTTTTCTAGAATGAATTGTGGGATTGTTTTGTATGACTGACAGGCATTCTAATAAAGTTTTTCTTTATTCCAGAGTGGTCTGATGTACTGGCCTTTTGTACAGGTGAGTTTCGAACTGCAGAGAATGCTAACTCACAGCTCTGGTCTCCAAGGAGCCCTAATTTACTTTCTGTTTCTGTTACAGCTGACCAACTTCAGTCTTGTTCCTGTTCACTGGAGAACAGCTTACACTGGACTTTGTGGTTTTCTGTGGGCTACCTTCCTTTGCTTTTCACAACAGAGTGGCGACGGCACGTTGAAGTCAGTTTTCATCTTCCTTCAAAGAAAGGAGACAACACAGTCCAAAGGGCCCTAGAGAAATGAGAGATGAAGGACTCCCCAAAAGTGACTAAATTTTTTTCCTTAAATGCAGTGGCTTGCAGATAAAATACTCTATTGACCAGTTATGTGATCCATTTTGAAGAATCACTGTCTGGAGACCTAGTTGTTTCCTAATTATCAACAAGTACTTTAAATTTTATTCAAACCTCTTTTGTACCCCCATTTTGGTCTGAAAATTTTACTTAATATCTCTCTAATACTTTGATGAATGTCAATAACAGCTGCATAATGGCATTTTATGATTATTACTATTTCTGTATTAGTATTTTAATGTCAGTTGACTTAAGGAACCTGTTTTGACTATATACATCTCTTTTCTAAAATCTCAGGTTATCTCCTAAAAACTTTTGGATCATATTATCTTTTATACCAAAAATAGTCTCATAGCAAATTTCTGTTTACAGAGAACTCAATCAAGGAGAAGACTGAATAACCAGATTTCCCCCAGAATACTGTATAATAATTTATTGGTATGCTGATACTAACGTTCTATAAGTACATTTTATATCATCAAAAAGCTAGTAGTGTATGATTGGTGTTTTTGTAGAATGTATTTCATGGGTGTCTTCTATTTTTGTAATTTCTAAGCTAAATAATTTTCAGCAAATTTTTAAAGCTTTAAGTGTATTCAGTAAAGTACTCCATCTCCTAGACATACAAAATGTACAAAATAATTGATTTTTTAAAGAAACATGCTGAGAGAAGTTTCTTTTAAAAATGAACACTTTTTCTCCCTCTGGAAGAACCCTGTCCCATATTTCCAAGGAAAATAGTTACCCCAAATTTCACATTGATGTTATATTTTTAAAAATTAGTGCTTTAAAATAAATCTTAGTAGGTAATCTTTCAGGTAGACATGAGAAACTTGATCCAGTCTTTCAGATTTACTCAGTTTGTCTAACCTCTAAAACCAATGGGTTTAAAAAATGACATGAATATCTCAGGAAGTTTCAGTATTTCTCCTAAGAACTGCACCATGATTCTGTTGCATCCAGTGGAGAATTTCACAAATTTAGAGATGTGAAACAATGAATGTCAATAAATTTATCTTGGGAATTTACATTTAAGATTAATTGAAGAGTGTAAAAACTTTAGGCATAAATTTATATAATGCATAATGTAAATTTATGTAAGTCATAAGCATGTGATTTATTTGAATTTAATATGTATTAGTATATTTTATATCATTGGGACAAGAGTAAAGAACTTTCCAGATAGCTTAATTCTATAATAATGTGTTATTTGGACTTTTTAAAAAGTAGTTCACACAACATAAAAACTATTTCACAATAGGTAAGACAAATTTTGTCATTAAAAAGTATATTCAGAGTAACTGTTATAAGTACTACCTGGCAATCTTTTAAATGAGCTTCAACATTATTTTTACAATGGAAGAATAGTGTTTGTATTTTACATAAAGTAAATGGGAAAACAGAACTTACTTATACTGCTGGGGTGAAAAAAGCTCTTTATTAAAAAAGAGTGTGATAATCTTTACTCAGCATGTTACTCTGTACTGTAAAGAATATATAGCATGTATTTGCTGTATTTTTGCAAAGAATACCTTTTTAATTTTTATGCAAGAGTACTTTTATGCTTCAGCGTAAGACATGGAACTTATTCCAAACAGCAGAGTGTTTGTCTCTTTTAAAATGCTGGCATCCTTGGCCAAACACTTTAGAACTGAGCAGGCGGCCCCTACTCTTGCTCTATATTTCCGCATTCCGTAAGATTTCTTTACCTTGATTGTGTGTTGCCCCACCATGTTCTTTTGGCCCCAGTTTGCTCAGGTAAGGGGCAAAATCTATAATTTGTCTCCCTTAATAGGGTTGAGATAGACTGGATTTTTACAACAACTTTACCTAATACATGTAGAAAACAAAAGGGAAATTTGGGGAGTGTCAATAGCACTTCTTAAAAACAGCTTACAGAATACTGCAATGTCCCTCTGTGTTAGCACTTAAATGCCTTTTCTTCCTCTTTACTTTCTTTTTTGGTTTCTGATCCTCCAATTTCTGAGTTAGCTTGAACTCAGGGATCACAAATCTTGCCCTCGGTGCAGGCATTTGGGGTATTTACCCTACATCTGCCCAGCATTCATTCTTTTCTGACTCCCTGATTGTTACCATATGGTATGACCACCACTGCCAGGGAGCTTGTCTTCTTGGCCCTGCTACCATTGAAACCAGGAGTGCCTGAGTCCTGTCTTTTTGGACTCCTGCTTTCCAATCCAGTCTCAGAGATAAGCCTCTTACCCAGATAACTGAAAAGTGATCTCTCAGTTCAAGGGAGGTCTTCCTTCTGTACAAAGGGATGCAACCACCCTTATAGTAGATAAAATTACCAGAACCCTAACCTTCGTGTAGGGAATTAACAAATGTTATTAAATGGACGATGTAGGGATGTAAAGAGGATAAACAATATGGTAATAGCAGTGTTAAAGGAAGTTTATTGTCTAGTTGTGCATATAAGTAAAAAAAATTGATAAACAGGCTCTCAGAACATCTCATCCAATGTGTCATTCAGTGCTTGAATAGCATCCATGACAAGTGGTCAATAGAAGGCTTGGATATTATGCAGGTAATGCCACCCAACCGCAGGTTAGCGGCATAAACTAGCAACTTTGAAATCATGGTGCCCTGAGTAATCTGGGAAAGCTTCATGGAAGAGATGCCTGAGCTGGGTCTTGAAGGATGGAAAGTTACAAGACTCTAAAGGTCTATGGACTGGAGTGGTGAGAGTAGGATGAGATGAGATGAGATGAGATCTTGAGAGAAAGTAAAGAGGAAGAAAAGGCATTTAAGTGCTAACATAGAGGGATATTTGCACTGATCGTTTCCCAACTTTGAATGATGTAGGTGGTACCATCCAGCTTACTTTTAACTTAAAATCATGCATAATTTGCAACTTACTCTTTTTCATGGGTAGGAATATTAATAAAAGTTACTCTCTTTTATCTATTATCATAGTAGGTTCGGTGAGAGAATTAGCAGTGTGAGAGTTTGCATGTGTTTAAAACTTTCTGATAATACCAAGTTTGAGAGTGGCATGTGAGAATATTTTCCTCAAAAGCTGGTCAGTAAGGTGATTATTTATACACTATACAGTCAGCGAAATTTGGCATTTTAGGAGTTCATGCAAACGGAGGGTGCTTTAGGAAAACCTTATCTTAAATGTATTGATGTTCTTTGGGCCAGAGTAAGACAACTTTAATGAATGAAAGGAATTACAGCTGCTAAAAGATATAGTTAGAAGAGAAAACACTTTTGCATTCTAGTACTTCATTAGTAATTGTAATTTTGGATTTTGATACTTTGAAGAAAAATTAGTTTTATTTCTTTCACAATAAAACCTGTAGATTAAGAGATTTAACTTTGGTATTTCAGGCTTTATTTAAATAGGGCTTCCAGATCAACTATGTTAAGCACAATCAGCCAAATTAAATGTAGTCTCTTTAACAGAGGTAAATTATCCAGAATTACAATTTCTAACTCATCTGTTATTGCTATGTACTTTGTTTACTGTTTTTCTTCCAAGGATCATCATCCTTTAGGATTCAGTTGAAGCTATCAAAAAATATTTTTTGCTATGTGGACAATTCACTTTCAGTTCAATGGAATTTAATGTGAATTTATGCAGAGTTTTTGCTGAAACAAATTATATCTAGAATTTACTTAATGTATTCTGGAGGCATCTTTCATTTGATAATAGGTTCATCTTCTGAAAGTACTAGAAAATTAGTGGAGTTTTGTATCTTAAGATTTTGCTCTTGCACTGGCTACATTTAATTTAGTTTTTCCTGTAATATTTAGACTCTAAAGGAGCCAAGTCACAAAAAAAATGCAATTAGAAAAGTAATGAAAATTTCCATTTAATACTATCCACAGCCAATTAAGTGAAAGGGGAAATCTGGAGTTTAAAGATAAAGTATGTGTTTGGAGTTTAAAGATAACAGATGCAGAACTGTGAACAATAGCCAACCAAAAGGGAGTAGAAGAGAATAATTAATAACTGAGTCACATTTTTGGCATGTATCAGTTAAAAGCTTATCTTTTTTGAGTTTGTGTCCTCCTTATAAGTTTGTTTTTCCTTAAATGAATCTTTATTCATCAATACCGTCCTTCTCCAGTCCTTCTTCCCTCACAACTGTGACCTCCGAAACACTCCATGAGGACAGAATAATTGTGATGGTATTAGGGACCAGAGCATTTAAGTGACATGACAGCCATGCTTTAGAAACATGTAGCAGAGAACCCCTCTTTGGGAAGGATCATCTGCAGGGAGAACTTTGAAGCAAGTAAACTTCCTAGAGGAAGCTTCCATTTGAAATTAGGTTCATCTGCTGAAAGTATTAGAAAGTTAATGGATTCTTATGCCTGAAGATTTTGACTTGGTATTGTCCTGGTTCTCTTCAGAGACATTTTCCTTCCTACTGGTACCCTCATTTTCTCTGCATTTTCTGCATTCTTTCTGTACTTTATCTTCCAAATTAGTTCTTTCTTTTCCTTGCTTCTCAAAACTCCCATTCTCTTCATGTGGCCGATTTCAGCTAGGTGTAGAGAAGTGGGTTTTTAAACTAATTCACCGAGATGTGAATGACAGCCTTTCTAGCTGAATTTTTTTTTAATTGCTAATGAAGGGTCCCCACCAGTAAGATGGCAAACTTCTGGCTTCTCTTCGGGGTCCTCAGTTCCCGCCGGCGCCACCTGAAGCCCAATCACCTCTCGCCCCCCTCCCAATCCCAGCACCTAGCCAACAGCCACCAGCCCCGTAGAAGTGACACCTCAATCAATTCATGCCCCCTCCTATATAACCCAGCACCTTTCCCTAATAAAGCGGAACTCTCCGGTGAATTGCTGCTATGTGTCGCTCCTTTCCTTTCATTGGTGCCGAAACCCGGGAGACGGGACACCCCAACTGGGCCCCGTCTTCCCCCCGACACCAGCAGCAGCTTGCCCTCGTCCTCTTTTTCCGGCGCTGGCTCATCACACTCACCACTCCTCTCTGGCCTTTAGGTAAGTTTTCCCCCCGGAGTGGGCCACTCTTCCCCGAGCTATCGCAGTGCCATTGACCGTGATCGTCCGGCAAGGCCCTGACGCTCGGGGATGAGGAGGGAACGCTCCCCGCCTCAGGCCTTCACGGCTGCGGCGGACCCTCAGGCCCCTCCTCCAAAAGCCATAAATCCCCGCCTCAAGCCTTTACGGCTGCGGCGGACGCTCAGGCCCCTCCTCCGA